TTTCGATCGAGGAATTTCACGAGGCTCGTCGGAGTTCCGTCGTTTTTGTTACTTTTATAGTTTTCGAAACATAGGTAAATACAGTAAATTCTCTTTAATTGACGCTCTAATCGGCTCAGATTGTGCACAGTAATGGACAATTTGAGAAGAGGAGATACGATTATTCGAGCCTCGCGGCTTATTTTTATAGTCGCCGGTTGTCAATACAGTAATGTCTCTCTAATTGACGCTCAAATTGTCCACGAAAATGGGCAATTTAGGAAGAGGAGTTACGATTATTCGAACCTTGTTTCTCGTTTTTATAGTCACGAATTGTCAACAACTATAAAAACGAGAAGCAAAACACGAATGAATCGTATCTCCTCTCCCCAAATTGTCCAGTTTTGTGCACAATCTGAGCGTCAGTTAGGGAGACATTACTGTACGTGGTTCGATCGCGATAGGAATAATTTCGCGAAATACGCGCTCGTCTTCCAATAATTCGCGAAAATATTTAAGATTATAAACAATGGGACTCGGGACTTCGCAATAGCAAGTCAGGACTTATTAACACTAAACCTACCGCGGTCAAAGTGACCGCTTTCTTATTGGGTTGGCAACTAAGTAATTGCCGATTTCAGTTATAGATGTCTCTCACTCCCATTTTTATGGTATCCGTAAATGTTATATTATAAAATTTTTATTATTATTATTATGTTATTTTTTATTATCCGTGAATGTTAGCATCTGGACAAATTGAATGCAGCGGTCAAGGAAAAGCGACCAGAATTGGTCAATCGTAAAGGTGTCATTTTCCAGCAGGACAATGCTAGACCGCACACGTCTTTGTCCACTCGGCAAAAATTCATGGATATTGGTTGGGAATTGATGTTACACCCACCATATAGCCCTGATCTCGCGCCATCGGATTACCACTTATTTCGATCCCTGGACAACTCCCTTCGTGGTAAAACTTTTAATGACGATGACGTTGTAAAATCTCACTTAACTCAGTTTTTGGCCGAAAAGGATCAGACTTTCTACGAGCGTGGAATTTTCAAGTTGTCAGAGAGACGGCAAAAGGTCATCGAACAAAATGGAAAATACATTACAGATTAAACTTCGTTCCAAGTAAAAAAGATTTTTTATTTCATTGAACAAATCGGCAATTACTTAGTTGCCAACCCAATAGAATATCAAATTAGTTATAGTTTCCTAATATTAAATCAGCCTAGGATTTTAAAATGCCTATTAAAACGCCACTTCTGCTTCGAACGACTCAATTCTATCGTTCGATATTTTGCAACGTAAATCCAAGTTGTATAAAAATCTCTGTAATAAATTCTGATCGATTTTCTTCGAGCGAATAAAGCGTCGCTCTCCGAAAAGAATTGGTAATTAAACGATTATCTGCAGCGGAGCTGTATAGACGTCTGAAACGAAAGCGATACTTCCCGCTAATCGTCGTGGAATCGTAGTTCCGAAGTTGTGAAAGACGAGTCGGCCTAATGTATTATAGTTAATCTCACTTAAATTGCGTATGATATGAGTCACGAAGTTCAGCGTATTCGAGCGCGGTTGAAAATTGTGTTTAAATTTTCAGGCGACCTATAGTTTCCACGAGACCTTTTGCTCCAGAAACCGAGGATCGGAACGCCGCGAATACGACAGCTGATCAGGGATTCTCTTTCAAGCGGACATAGTTCTCGATTTTTCGAAAAAGAAACGGTCTCGGCCCACCTGACACTCATGAATACGTTAAGTGGCGCGCCGCCATTAAGTCATTGAACGGTCAGAATGCGGTACGCCGGGGACCGATTAATCGGTATACATTATACATAGTTAGAGAAGAAGATTTAATATGCTGGACAGACGAGCGGTTTCGTCACAAAACGTTATAGTACGCGGACGAAGTTTTCCCTTGTGCCTCGACGATTTTCCACGTCGAGCCGAGCCCCGGACGCTGCACGGTTTGCTTTAGACGATGTTCAATAAAGTACATTACCGTGCAACTTTAATCGCTTTCCGTCTGTCTTACGGTGAAATATTGAGGGGACACTGTTCCCTGAATTAGTAACAACGGATTGGAAACTTATTCAGCCGCAACCGATGAATCTGCAAGTCCGTTTCGCAGTTTCGTGCGCCGTCGTCGTGTTTCGCGAAAATATCTCGCGATCTTATCATCGCGAGGAAAACGAATCGATCGGCGAACAGTTGACAAATCTTCGCTCGACGCAGAAAAGAAAGCATCGAATCGCCAAAAGTGATCGTCGCGAATTCGTATTAATATAATCGAATACACGGCGCAGAGAGATTGCGATCTCAGTGGCTCGTTTTATCGCGGTAATTATTTAGCGCGACATTAAAGCAAATTCGAAGATCCAGTTCTGACAGAAATGAAGTAAGAACTTCGTTCATAATTGAAACGTTTAATGCAGCCGGGGTTTAATACGTTTAAAAATCTATTGGGAACAGCGTCGCTCTTCATCAAACAGCTCTAATTCTACTCCCGGAAAAAGTCCGCGACGATTATTCCAGATTGCAGTAGCTTCGGGTATTTATGGATTTTGCGAACTTATTAAATACAGGAAAGATTCGTACGAATTTGTAGAATTTTGAGCACTTTTTGTTCTGTAAGAGCTCTTTTAGACAACGAAAGACGTCCTCTTTTCATTCCGGTTTTCGAAAATTCGATCACGAAAATATAAGAAGTGCAGTCTAATGATTAACGTGGATATTATTTCGTCGATTCGTTCTGTGTAGCTGGTCGGGAAATAAATATATGAGCCGTTTATTTTGAAAGTGGCATAAGTCACTTTACCGTAATGAAAAGTGGTGATTTTTTACTGTTTATACGAAATTATTTATACTGAGAAAAATGTAATTATCCTGAGACAGCAAATACAAGTAAATCTTCTCGAAAGTTAGCATCCATTTCTTAATGATGGTCCAATGTCGAAGAATTCCAGCACCTTGAATTTTGATAATTCTTAAGTAGATAAGATAATTCTTAAATATTATTATTATTAATATTTTTAACATTATTATGATTAATATTATTATATTATCATTAATATAATATAAATAATCATGTTTGCGACAATATTATTAGATTCGGACACGCACTTTTATTGAACTGTAGAATAAAATTTGAATTGACGAAGATTCATCAAATTGAAAGGGTTGCTCGAGTTTATGATAATATCGATAAATACGAAGTCAATTATGCTCGAAAAAAAAAACCGAAGGCGTAGCAATACGTCAGGCCACAGCAATCGGCACCGCTGGCCTATCTAGCCTGTAATTTGCCTTTACGGTTAACGAACACGGATATAAGAATATTCGCAACGAGAGATTCTTGCTTCGATCGAATGCTTCTTGCCAGTAGTGGTGCAAGTGCGCGCGACGTCTATGGCCCAGTAATTAAAATCAAACAAAAAATGAAAATTGACCGCTCGCCCGAGAGACCGCGCCATTCGGGACACGTCGAGTTCATAGTCCCCTTTTCCCTCCATTTTCGTGTTTACGGGTTTTTCCTAGCGGCCGGCCATGCAGCAAGTTCCTAGAACAAGACAGCACGTAAGAGTTTGATGCACCCGCGTCTTTACTAATTCAAAGAGTTTCGATTGAATGGGCCACACACGCTTCCGCGAGAGCGAAAGAAACGTTCACGGTACCGCGAGTCTCACGGACAAACGGGTGTTGTCCTCGCGGCGTCTTTACACTTTGTCCGGGAATCGAGCCGATCGATCCGTTCGAACAGTGTCATTACATCTCTATCCGGCCATCCCTTCCTTTGCCATTAAGCCCGCGATCGAGGCGGTTGCTTGACAAGCGTAACTCGGACTCCCGCCGATTCGATAAATTGCATACGTTCGATAATATCACGCTGCTCACGTTTTTCGAACACGTTCGACGTCCCGTTAGGCGTTCCTTTGATCCGTCGAGCCCCGAACAACGAAATGTAACGATTAGCCGGACTTCGATCGCTCGAGGATTACAGACGAAATTAAAGGATCGTTAAATTATTATTAAAGGTTCCCATATTCATTCCAATGCGATCTTGTAGAGGATAGCCTGCACTTTTACAGTGGTCACGCGAAAGTTGATCCGTGATTTTTCCTCGCGATTTTACGACACTCTGAACGAAAACCGTGTCATTCCATTGGTGTCACTTCATTGGAAGAAGTCGATGCAAGTGACGTGTTTCGTTAGAAGTGTCGGTCGGAACGATCACGTTAAAAAATAGACACTGCATTTTGTAGTCAAGGAATTCAACTTTCATCTCTCTTTTGCGTCATCTCGATGCCTGCTTTGATTTTCGAGATGCGGTAATTTCTCCCAGAAATGTTCGAAATTGAAACTGGCAGATCCGAGAATACTAAGTCGCAATTCTTCGGGCCACGCAGTTCTTTTTTATAGAAACTCGAGGCAGTCGACAAAAAAAGGCAGGCCAGCATGTGGGTGTTACAGATTCCTGAGATCATTTGAAGCAACTTTCTCCTTCACAGAAATGTTCTCCGAGGCATCGTTAACGAGTTATCAACGAAGAACACTGGCCAATGAGAGGCGAGCTCTGCTGGCGGGCGACGCCCAGTTCCGCTCATTGGCTCGGCCGCCTAGCGCCAAGCGAGCTCGCCCCTCATTGGTCACTGTTTTTCGCGAATAATTCGTTAACGATGCCTCAGAGCAAATTTCTGTAAAGGAGAAAGTTGCTTCAAATCACCTTAGTGATTGATTTCCGGATTGCAAGACATTTTTGGGACACCTGGTGTAATAATCATAAAGTGGAAGATTGTATAACTATCGGAGCATTAATTACATTCCAAATAAAATCAAGATATTAAACATTAAATTTCATCGAACTGTCTGTTTCCCCATTTCCCGGAAATACCATAATTTTGGAACACCCTGCATAGATCGAAGTGCACCGCTCTTGGACCCTTGCCTCGAAAACGTCGAACTTCCCTCTTCCTTCCTGATCTCGAACACTAATTTCCCAACGCGATTTCTGTGCGCAGGTTCGGAGAACGGCCGCGCGTCAGCCGAGAGCGAGGACGAGGGCGGAGGCTTGAGCATGGCGGGCGACGGTCACGACGCGGCCGACGCGATGTCCAGCAACGCGTCCAGCAACGTGAGCCCCGGCTCCCTGGAGAACGGTCAGAGCAGTTCGGCGTCGGGGTCCAGCAACAACAAGGCTCGCCGCAGGCGAACAGCGTTCACGTCCGAGCAGCTGTTGGAGCTGGAACGAGAGTTCCACGCGAAGAAGTACCTGAGCCTGACGGAGAGGTCGCACATCGCCCACGCCCTGAAGCTGTCGGAGGTGCAGGTGAAGATCTGGTTCCAGAATCGCCGAGCCAAATGGAAAAGGGTGAAGGCCGGCTTGTCTGGCGGCGGTGTCGGCACCGGCGCGACCAGCATGGCCGCCGCTGGAGCCTCGAACAGGCACAACGGGGCGACCGGACAGCACTCTGGGAACGGCACCAGGATCGTGGTGCCGATTCCCGTCCACGTGAGCAGACTGGCGGTGAGGTCGCATCATCATCACCTGGAGAAGTGCGCCAGGCCACCCAGGGTCAGGCCAGCCGGCGACAGTCCAGCTTCCGCGGCGTCGAGCTCGGTTCTAGGCGACGCCCTCGGTCTGGTCAACTCGTCCATCAACCTGACCGGACAGGTGCAAGCGCCCATCAGCAGCGGCGTTGGCATCGGCGTCGCCGTCGGTCTCAGAGCGTTCACCGTGCCGTCCCATCGGGGCGGGCTCAGCTCTTCCGGCAGGTAGTGAACACTGCCTGGTAGCGAACTCTGGACTCGATGGAACCCGGGGAACGGGTTCGCGGCGACACGGGATCGGTGTAAGTCTCGCGCGAACTCCGGGGAAGAACGGTGAGTGGTGAGAGAAGCGGCTGCTGGACAGCAACTCGAAAGCGAGAGACTTTCGGTTTTGATGGACCGAAGGGTGACAATGATCCTTGCCATTTGGAGAGTACGCTAGATCGATGGTACAGTCGAATCGAGGCTCGCGCGCGCGCGATCGACGGCGAAGTCCGAAGCACGTTCGCTGGCATTGGCTGCTTCCGCCAATGCTTCGCAAACGGAGCTTTCGTTGCGAGATGAAGATTCTATTCGAGATACGTGGATTTGCTCGCTAATCCGAATGTCTCAGGAATTAGGAAACAACGGTATTCGGGAATTCTCTGCGAACGTTTTACTTGTATTGCTCAATTTTGTGATAAGTGCTTGATACCCGCACCGACGGTTCTACCGTTTCCGTGTTATAGTTTGATGTGGCAACTACCGCACATTTAATCGAGAGACAATTAACTCGGTCTTCTTTTACGCGAGGCAGAGAATGAATTCGTCGGGGACGTGCAACGCTGGCAGCGAACGTGTCGGTCATCGTCGTTCGCAGCCGAGTCTATCGAGAGTCTATGGATTCGTAGAGGAAACGGGGGACAAGTTAAGTAGCTTCATCCTGCCAACGATTGCGAGATCGAACGTCGAGGAAGAATTAAAAATAGAATCGTATCTCCGACAGAGTAACTGCTGAATAATTGACGAAGATACTGTGACTGTGTGCTTCGAGTGTCGGGAGCCATTGGAATCGATGCTGGCTGAAGTGTTCTTTAACAGGAGCTGCTTGCGAAGCGAAGTCGGTCCAGTTCGACAGAACTTCGGGACGTTGGAACACGCGTGCTGGAATCGCCGCGGAAGCCAGTTCGCAGGTTGCGTTCTCGTTGCTCGATCATTCCGCGGAAGGACAGCGTCCGCGGAGTCTTCGAGATATTCTTTTTCTCTCCGCGATCGGTCTCGCATCGCGCGGCGAGCCGTGCTTTCGACGCGGCCGCGAATGAAGCGATGTAAATAAGTAATATTACGGTGTTGTAAATAGCGTTTCCCACACAGCGTTACCGCGTAGATTGTAACCGATGTACGAGCGTAGGTCTAACTTGTAGATAATTTACATTAAACGAGCCTCCGCTCGTGGAGGAGCACTATGTTACGGCGATGGTCTATCGATTGGCCGTGCGATTACCACAGCTGCATCACGGTCGCGATACGACGACGAGCGGAAGCCGAGCGAACGGTCTGCACACTTGTGTATATCGAGAAGGCAATAAAATGTGCGAATATCTTATGAAATATCGTTCGTTTTCTGATTGCACGCTAACGCTCCCCCACAGCTCTCTTCCGTCTCGCAGCGTAGAAACATCGAATCGGTAAAACCTGGATAAAGGGGAACAACTGGCGTTCTATTATTCATTCGTTCCAGGAGAACTGTGCCATATTTTGCTTAAATTGACATTTGCGTTCTTTCGAGAAGTCTGTAGAGATTGTCATTCTTGAGTGACGTTTGAACGAGGCGACGCCAGAAATGACAGTTTTTTTTTTTTAATGAACGGATGTTGTTAGGCGGGATTCGTAGGATCTATGATTGATATCATAGCCATCTAAATCGATCATGGCTGGACTCTTTTGGGATTCGTCGTTCGGTCATAGTACGATTTAAGGCTAAGAAGAGGCACGAGGAGATGTTAACGTTGATACGCGAGGTGACACTCAGGTAAGTGGCTCGTCTTCCAATAATTCGCGAAAATATTTAAGATTATAAACAATGGGACTCGGGACTTCGCAATAGCAAGTCAGGACTTATTAACACTAAACCTACCGCGGTCAAAGTGACCGCTTTCTTATTGGGTTGGCAATTAAGTAATTGCCGATTTCAGTTATCGATGTCTCTCACTCCCATTTTTATGATATCCGTAAATGTTATATTATAAAATTATTATTATTATTATTATGTTATTTTTTATTATCCGCGAATGTTAGCAACTGGGCAAATTGAATGCAGCGGTCAAGGAAAAGCGACCAGAATTGGTCAATTGTAAAGGTGTCATTTTCCAGCAGGACAATGCTAGGCCGCACACGTCTTTGTCCACTCGGCAAAAATTCATGGATATTGATTGGGAATTGATGTTACACCCACCATATAGCCCTGATCTC